CAGTGTTCCGAACCCGTGACGAATCAAAAGTTCGAATTCGATATCTTGGAGACACTGGACGTGATAACGAGGACATTGCAAACATTGCCGCAATTGGTGATTCGCGGGTTGTAGATATAACGCCGGAAGTGGGTTTATTTAGCTCTGCGGAGTGCCTGACGGACGACGAGAAAAAGTCAGCATCAACGTTTTATCGCTCAGCGGTGAAATGGTCAGTCCGACGAGCGCACCATGTTGGTATGCCACCGACGGGATGGTTAGTTAGCACTTCTGCATTTGAGTGCGGGTGTGCGTACTACAAAAAATTTCTATCTTGTGCGCATGTCATATGTGGACGCATGGCCATCGGGCTAAGTGTACCTGGCGTTGGAGGGTTTCATGTGAAACTCAAGGATCGCAGACTTCGCCGTGCCCGCGATGCTAAACGAAAACATGCAGCTCGCTCGTTACTGCAAAGCAGTGATCACGCTATGAAGACTGTGTTTAGCTGCCCCGTTTCGGATGTCAGCAGTGACTCCTCGCTGAGTTTCGATCTTCTGAGTGCATCGGTTCAGACGTTTTTACGTGACTTCACGGATGACGGCGTCAATTTGGACGGGCCAGTTGCTGCAAACACTTATGGGGGAGAAAATAATCGGATGGATGTACACACAGAGACTAGTGCTGCTGTTTTTGCGGATTCGGCAAGTGGATGGACGCAAACTCAGGTGGGTGACGAATTTCTTTCTGCAGACAGCATCCATGAGGCAACGAGTGGCAGCATTCAAGAATCTACTGCCTCATCCAATATTTCAAGGATCGACATATCGTCGCTACTGTCGCCGATACAGCCTCCATATCAACAACAACACACTGTCTTCCAGGAAGAAGAAATATCTTTACGAAGACAGGTGGGGCGACCGCCGCTTGCATCTCCTGCTTTAGATATTCAATATTTGCTACGCTAAAGAGTTACATGAGCTTGTACCTTTCGTTTGATAACCTTTCTTTTAATGAGTAGCACACACAAGCGATTACAATAGCTTAGTACGGGCTTGTGGTATGGCAGAGCTATTAATTTTATTCTCTCATTAGTTTATCATTGGTATATCTAACTTTCCAACACGCAGACCGCTGTATTAATGGCATCGTGATGACCGCGCTCAAATTTTCGCCAGAACCGCTCCAACATTGAACAAGAAACCTGAGCGAATCGCCAGCGCTTGCAGCGTCACGTACAGAAAGAGAAACGAGACGATAATGCGCGCGCAGACGATGCCCCTGAAGGCCAGCTTCGGGAAGTCTACGAACATCATCGGAAGCGCAGCTTCCCATCGTAACATTCTCTCACCTTAGCGTCGACATCACAGCACCAGCTGTGTGGCTCGAAAGGTTTCTAGCTTGCGGCGAGGCGTCGTCGATGCAAGTCGCTTCATGTTGCTGGTGCTGTAGCTCTTCTTCTTCTTCTTTGGTAATTGCATGGCTACGTCGTGGTGCTGGCCAGCACCTTGCTGACATGTTAAGAACCATAGTCTGAATCGAATTATCCATATTGCCAAAGTTTGTTCACTGCATTGGTCGAGCAATCTATACTAGTCAACGCTCGCCAAGGTTACGTGAGTAGATTCAGCAGGTTACGTACATGGCAATAAGAAGAAAGGCTTACCAGGAAGCACATACTTCCCTCTAGATTATCTAATAGCACCTGTTCATGGTCTTCTACGTTTCTGAGTTATTGAGAAACAGCGTTTTGATAATTGTTATGATGTGGCTTAGGTGCAATAGTGTTCCGTGATGATCACGTATCTTGCTGATGTCTACTACATCTGTGGTTATAAAATAGCATGCTACAATTGTCACCAAGTAAGAGCTAGTACTTACCATATTCAAGCTTAGTAAGATCAGGTAGGGTCTTCCAAATTTCGCTTTACTTTCCTTTGCTACTGGTCTCACTTTAGCTCGTGTTCTCAGACTCACCTTAGCTCGTGGTCTCATTTTAGCTCGTGTTATCAGACTCACCTTAGCTCGTGGTCTCATTTTAGCTCGTGTTATCAGACTCACCTTAGCTCGTGGTCTCACTTTAACTCGTGTTCTCAGACTCACCTTAGCTCGTGGTCTCACTTTAGCTCGTGTTCTCATTTTAGCTCGTGGTCTCAGAATCACGTTAGGTTGTTGCCTCAGAATTATTCTGATAAATCTGATACTCATTGTGACTGGTTGGGAGATAGCCCCATTTTAGATTTAACGCAAGGGGATTTTAAGCATGGGGAAACGGGTGAATGTGCAGAGGACGGAAAAGGAGCGAATCGCGCTCCTGAAGCAGTGGAAGGAACGTTCTGAGTGGAGCCTCGAAGAAGCTGCGCGGCAGCTACGAGTTTCGCCCCAGACGCTGCGTGACTGGAAGAAGCGATACTGGGAAAATTTGGATTCTATTACAGGCTCAGATCGCACCCGACGCAAGGGGGCTGGGCCGTCAAGGAAAATGAGACCGTACGAAGGTATAGTACTGAGGTACTTTCACGTTTGCCTTCGAGAAAAAGGTGTTTGCAGATTCTCAGAGTTGTTGGTCTATTGCCGGCAGCTGGAAGAATTCCAGCAAGATATTCCCAACCGTCATTCCCAAGAAACGTGGGTGGAAAGGTTCATCAAGTACTACTCTAGCCGTGTCCATGGCAGCGGTGATAGCGCAGAGATTCAAGGTGAAGACGGCAATTGTTTGGCTGCCGATACTGATGTCTTGGGTGGGGGGGGTACAAGTTCAAGTGGAGGGGGTACATGTTCAAGTGGAGGGGGTACAAGCTCAGGTGGCAGCGACTTCATTTCGGGTGGTGATGGGAATATTGGCGGAAACAATATTGCGGCTGATGATCTAGTTATTGGCGAGGACAATATTATGGGTGATGGTGTAATTATTGGCGAGGATAGTAATTCGTGTGGTGGTGTAAATTGTGGCGGGGGTAATATTTCGGGTAGTGATGTCGCAATAACCGGTGATATTGCAACTCCTGATGGGAGTACAAACTCCACTGCTAGTGGTACACTATCCAATGTTGGAGGTGCAAGTTGGATTGCTGGTGGTACATATCATGATGCAGCATCCGATGGAGGTGGAGTTAGCCCCAGAATTAGCGATGCAAGCGTCGGTGAACATTGTGTGAACGGCGCTGCTTATAGAAATATTTCGGGTGGGGACGGGAATAATTTCGGAGGCAAAACAATTCCTGACTCTGGATGTGACGTTTTAGGTAGTAGTGGTGCTATTGCCAGTGGCGATGACAGCATTTTCAGCAGCCCTGATGGAAATTCAGTATCTAGTAGTGATACTGATGACTCAGAAGAAAGCTTATTTAAGGCTGATTTACCCATCACAAAGACAGATGGAAATGTCCACCAGACCGCGGGACACCGCTTTTTTCGAAAGCGATACTCGAAGACTGCAACAGTGCTTGAATGGAGAAACGATAAAACGTATATTTGTATTTTTCCTGACGACCTCAAAAGTATTTTGCCTGGTGGATGGCTAACAAAGAATGCGGTTGACTACTACATTCATCGCTACATCAAATCTGAACCTGGTTCTGTATTTGTTTGTGGAACTTCAACGTACAAGACAATTGACCTTGCCCGAACATCGACAGTTGCAGTCAAAAGAGCTGCTCGCATGGAACAACTGACCGGTCTGGTAGAATGGGCTAGTTACCCATTTGTACTAGTTCCTATTACCGGAAATGACCACTGGAGTTTTGTCGTTGTGGCTAATGCATTGCAAAATGGCACGGCAGGTTTGTATCATGTCAATTCTATGAAAGATTACCACGACACGGCCTACGCATTTGAAGCCGTGAAATTGGTAATAGCCAAAGAGCGCTTTAAACGGGATGACTACCTCCGAAGATGCGACTAGAGCCACGGTGTTTGTAACACAAAGCCCCAGCAGAGGAATACGGTTGACTGTGGAATCTTCATGCTTTATTACATGGAGGAAGTTGCAAAAAAATGCATAGTGAAGGAGAAAGACATGTTTTCGTCGAAACCCATCTTAATTAAGTCGAAGTTAAAGGCGTGGACAACAAACTGCTTCAATGCAAAAGAGGCGAGAAAATTCCGACAAGAGTACTATCGCAGAATTGAAGAAGCATCTGAAGAATCCTACAAACGCTACAAGTCGTCGTAATACAGCAGTGTTGGTATTATCATGCTTGTCAATAAAGCTTCAGTCTTTTTAATGATACTTCTTATTCTACTTCGAAGTATACGATTGCATTGAGCTTAATGCACACACAATGATGGCTGAACACATTTTTGGAGCGTTTAACCCGCCCTTTCGGGTTTAAAAACATCAATTATCACGTCCTGGAGCTTCATTAAACACGTGGGCAGTGTGAACATCAGTCTTGTGTAGTCTGCCGGTCTGGCTGCTGCAACTCGCCCCGCACTCTTCTTAAGCAGCCTGCAGTGCTCACACAGCCGCTTGGAACGCTCCTGCAGAACGAAAAGATGCTGTGTTTGTGTGTGTGGTCCACACATAACCGGTTGAGTGGGCCATGGCCATCGTGTGTTGCCGGCAGCTCCGACACGTCGCAAGTGACGTTCGCCTGTAGCGCTCCCGCAGCAGGTTTCGCCACAACAGAGAAAGAGGGTGTGTGGTCCACACACAAGACGATAAAGCGGGACACACTGTATGTGGATGTTACACATGTCATGTGCACAGACTATGTATGTACACTGGCGCCCAGTACCTGTGTCTACTGATGGTCACATCGGTGTCTATTGGCGTCCTTTACTCTCACGAAACTAACAGCTGATACGCTGTACCCTTCTCTTGTATGTTCTCACGCAATTCTCACTTTTATCGGAGAAGTTTTCACTTTGATCAATAACGAAGTATTAGAAAGTTTCTAATACTTCTAATAGAAACAGGACGCAAGTTTTGTCTCTGGATTTCTTGTCACAACACAATTAGCGAGCCACAGAACAAGCAGCGCTTCTCTCTCCTCGTCCGCCACCACTTCAGTCAAGGTATGCGTACCTACTTCAAAATAATATTTCTCCTGGCTGTTGTCACCCTGCTCGCCAACAGCAAGGCTACTTCACCCAAACCCCAGGACCTCATCCAACGGAGAAGCGGACGAGTGTTGAGAGCTGATGCAACATACAACCAGGCCACTAATGCCGTCGACGAAGAGAGGGCTTCAATTCCAGAATTGATCAGCAAGCTCGGTAAATCCGTGCCGAAGTGGTTTGGGGACAAGTATCTCGCGACAAGACTGAGGCTTAAAGCGGTACAGATGAATCTTGACAACGTCGTGGAGAAGCTTGTGAAAGAAGGTGTCGATCCTAATCGGGCATACAAAGTGTTAAAACTCAAGAAGGACAGCAACCAGTTTGTTGGTATGCACGAAACCGGCGAATATAAGCTATGGCACAAGCTTGTTACTGCCTATCAGAAAAAGTATCCCAAGTGGGTGAACCTGTACGCTTAACAGAATTGCTAATTCAACACGTCAATGGGATACGCACAGTCATCTCGGTGCTGGACAGCTATGTGCGTAGATTGGAAAATTATAGCTGCTCATCTTGCGGAGTTTTTACTTTCTACGTGTAAGAGGCAGTTTGTTTTGCTGAAGATCCATCTCTTTAAATCCATGAGTCGTTGAGCGCTACCTAGTACGATTGATACAATTGGCGGATACAAATTTTCGAGAACTGTCAATTTCCAAAAACGAATCAGCTCCAAAAGAAGCTTTGCTATGATAGATTCATTGGTAGAGTGATGTAGGAATATTAGCGGCTGAAGGTACTACTTTAACTAAGCATTCAAGAAACAGGATCCACGTCCTTTTAGAGGCAAAGGCTGTAAATGTGCTACTAATACTCCTTCGTTCTCAGTAGATTTCGCTTTCGCCAAGGACTAGCAAGCAATCCCATTTGATAGAATTGTCGTCTAGCTTTTAAGCTGATTTCCTTTGAGACACTCGCACCAACTACCTGGGACTGGCAATTGAACACCGTTCTGCGTCGCCCGTCTTCGTCCCTAGTTGCACGAGTCGGCGTCGACCATCTGCCCGTTACACCCCCGAAAACAGGATGGACCACACTCTTCTCGGTGCAGTATCCTTGGGAATTCGTGGAAGCGTCACTTCGTGCCACGAATTTTGTGGACAGACTGGCAGCTGAAATTTTGTCAGTCCATTAATCTTTCCAAAGAACCGACGTGTGACTGCTTCCACGTCGTGCTGCTGGTGTACTCGAGCTTATGGTGGTTCAAGTGGATAATTAAGAGGTCGTGCCGACTATCGAGCTCTAGGATGCAGTGCTTCGCAGCCTTCGGTCATCGTTTAAGTTCGCGGAAAGTAATGCGCTATCAAATCTGCTGCTTTGTGACCGTGACACGGTCCGGAAATGCACCTCTCTCAACTTCTGTAACGGCATACGTGTTTTTCGTCCAAGGTTTGTGCATCTACATGGTGAGATTCCGCAGATTTTTTTCCCGTCGCAACCTGTCCAAATTGTGGTTAAACAAATTCTGAACAATTTTTGCTCAGATTTTTATGTAAAACTAATGCCGTGCGTTGCCCGGGAAGCTCTTATTGAAAGCATTTGAAGGCATACCTCGCCGGAGGTAGTGCTACATGATGCTATTAGTACTTAATGCCCCCCCCCCCCCGATACGGTCATGGACACACACAGAAGCTTCCAAGCGAAGCCCACTCGGAAGTAGGTTTGTAACCTAGTCGAAATTTATATTTTCTGGTAGTTATCTACAACCGAGCTTACAGGGTGTATGGTGCTACCTTCACTTTAAAAATAAGGAGTCATCTGAACTTGATCTAACAAAAAGCAGGTAAGTAAAATATGGTGTACGTGTTCGCGTAGCCAAATTATACCTGCGCAGGTAAGTAAGGGACATAAATCATCATCCGAGAAGAAAAATCGTGCGTGCAACTCAGAAATTTGAGAAACAGCGGACTTTATTTTAATTTAATCATCCACTTTTCAATATCCTGATATTGATGTTACATCTAATTCAGAAATATTTCTATTGCGAGGAAACGTTTTCTGTCATGCGCCACTGGCAAGGGCATGAGGGATGCTTTTACATGAATTAGAGGTAGCCGTGTCCAGATGCTGCGGCCGCAAAGTAGGCGCAGGAGATGTCGAGGCATACAGAACGGAGTATACGATGTATACATGCGTCAGCCCAAGCAAGTCAACAAGGACGTACCTGTTTACTTAGAAGTAAGGGCGACAGCTTCAAGCGGCCGCCTAACGGTTTATTATTTACTGATCGTAACTGTGCCAATTGATTCTACGCGCGATACTAGCTTTACGGAATTGTTAAGCTTCTGCCCTTGGCTTGAGCCTTACAGATTCTTTGTCTTAGATCTAAAAGTAAGACCAGATTTGCAGGTCCATGCAAAAAGTAGGCTGCTTGTATCGGCACTGCTTCTGGGCTACATTTTGCATTAAATGCCGTCCTTGGTGCAGGTCGTATTTCTGGCGCTTAGGTAGTGCCGTTAGATAGAAGCAGGGACTCGCTAGTTCTAAAGTTGCCGCTAGAATTGATCAATTCAAAAAAACTAAGTGTAAAGCTCCCTTCGTGCAACATGCATGCTTACAATTGGCTAATATTTACTTAGCAAGAAATTTGAATTTATAGCGGTTTTCATTTAGGAAATTATCGCGGTTTTCTTTTTTAAAATAATTAGTATCAAGTATTGCGTCACTTGAAATGTGTAAGCAACCTTTTTGTTTTGAATCCTAATAAAGTACCAGATTTTAATTTATGGAAAATCTTACCTATTCGATCTTAGTGTAATTTTTGGTGTTCTAAAGATCAAGCCAAAATGGTACATTGTACCAACATTGTTTAGCCATCACCTACGAATCTGTGCTCCCGGATTTTTGATATTTCGTAGATAGATGCTCCCGCTCGTCCGACGAGGCCCCAGGTTGCCATCGATCTTCACGCAGAAGTTGTGCTGCACGGTTCGCTACCATCACTACCGTCGAGTGCACGTTGCCGTTGGGGATAAGCGGGATGACGGACGCGTCAGCTACGCGCAGGTTTTGGATACCAAACACACGAAGATGGCTGTCTACAACACCCTCGTCCTCGGTAGTTGCCATGGACGCACTACCGACCCAGTGAGAATTGCGGAATACATTGTCGAACACCCAGTTGTTCAAGTCTGCCGATTCAAGCGAACGAGTGAGAAAAACTAAATACTAATTGAGGACACAGGGCAGGACCTGCACATACCTCTCGAAGACGTGATGTCGGTGCCTGGGGAGATCTCGCGTCCGATTAAGTTCTTTTCACCTGGTCATACAGTAAATTGTTAGCCGTCGGGTAGCTTTGTCAACACCTAGACGGACGTACCAAGCTTTGCGGCAATCTCGCGCACCACTCCGATGGCCCAAGAGATTTTCCAGACGTCACCGTGTGTGAGGTGCTCAGGTTTGGTATCGGGAACTTCCGACACAACACGTGGGATCAAGTGATCATCGATGTCATTGTCGTCAACAGCGTCGTCCTCGTCGTGAATGAGCACGACACGACTACGCGCGAGAGGATGCAGAAGCGCGATCGTCACAACAACTTCAGTCATGTGATCGAGTCCCGCGCTGTTTGACATGTGGGGCTCCGACTTTCGAGGAAACAGAGTAAGCTGGATTTGTGGTAGCGTCGCTCCGGGAGGGATCAGGAATGCTCCAGTACTGAGACCAGCAGAGCCAAACAAACCGAAACTGGATGCGTTGGCGTGTTCGGCGTTCGTGGCGGTGAAGTACGCGTCCAGATCCGCTCTGTACGAGAAGCACAACAGCTCAACTTTTAGATGAAAGGTGAAGTCTGTTTTAGAGATGACAAGCAGTATACTTACTTGAGATCAACGACGCGTGGGGACTTGAGCTCGAATATCATTCCAATCACGGGGTGGTCCTGCAGGTTCATTCCTACACGAGGCAAGTGCTTCTTCAGCGGCAATCCAGCTTTCTTGAGTGTATCTTGGTTGCCAAGTCCAGAGAGCATCAGAATCTTTGGTGTATTAATCGCACCAGCCGTGACGATAACTTCTCCGTGCTCAGCAAGGCGAATCAGCTGTATTGTGCCATTACCGAAGCGTACTTCGACCCCTTCGGTCACGTTGTCCTCGTTGATGCTGATTCTCTGCAGTCAGTCAAAGCGTTAGCAGATGCAATGCACCCCACAATATCCACCCATAATCTACTTACGGTGACTGTCGTGTCCAGCATCAAGCGGAAGTTTCCTCGCGTAGATTCTGCAGTCTTGCTGTCCAGAATGGGTCCTAGAAACGCCTTGGCTGCGCTTTCACGAACACCGTCACGCGTGTTGAAGTGGTAGTACCCGGCGCCGTATCGTCCGCCAGGTGCGTTAAAGTCCGCAGTACGCGGGATTCCCAACTCCGTACACGCTTTCACGAACTCCCTGGACATGTCATGTTCCAGCGACGGAGGACTAATTCGAATGAACCCCTGAGTGCTGTGATAGCTCGAGTTGGGCCCGTCAAAGTCCTCGATCGACAAGTAAATGTCGAGCGCTTTATCCCACGTCCAGTTTTCCATCTGCCATCTCTCCAGATCCGACGGCAGCGCTCGCACTAAAATGTCACGAATAAAATACAAAGTGAACGTTAATACCTGTTGAAAGGAAACAAAAGATAATCATGTCACAGTCGTACCGTAGAGCATGGCGTTGTGGATGCCACATCCTCCCAGAGCCTTGGCCACATTCACGTCTGGATACGCCCAATGGAGCGACGGCGTGTTGGCCACATTGGTCCAGTAGAATGGCACGTCGAACGGCGTCAATTTCTTCGTGTTGAGTGGCGACGGGATCGCGTCCTGCAGTATCACATTGCAGTAAGTTGCCGCCCCCCACCTCTTTTCTAGTGTCCAGTTGCCCCACCTTTCCACCCAGTTGAGTCTGTGATGCGTTGCCAGCTTCGATTAGTAGCACGCGTCGCCATGGATCGTCGCTTAGCAATTTGGCCACTACAGAGCCCGCCGGGCCGCCGCCGATGACGATGGCGTCGTACTGCAGCGACAGATTTATTAATACTGTTGTTTTTATTTAAAGACGGCTAGGATATTTTACCTCTTCGGAAAGAATGAGCGGAGTGATGGACGATCCACCCTTAGGTCGTAACAGACGCAGGACGATGGCGACGCAAGCCGCACCTCCTGCGAACAGCAGCAATAGCGCCAAACCGCTCACCAGGAGGCGTGTACGACGGCCGATGCGCTGCGCACCTGTTCGCAGCAAAGGCGAGTGCTCATCGCTGAAGCTGGTAGTCATTGGCTTCTTTGATCGGATTTAGAAATGCAACGCCAGGTGCGTGCGTGGTCCATCTTCAATTGTTCACTGCGATCCTGTCACACGTCGCAGACGTTTGAATCTTGTGTGCAATCACACGTTTTGTGTGTCAACACTAAATTGCAGCATGTCAATAGGAAAAAATGAAACACACAAATAGAAGCCCCCCAAAATACCGGTATATATTCTTGTTTTCATCGCCAGACCGGTATCCGTGGTACGGCAAAAAGTCACATTGACCAAAGTGCGCCACCAACCGACGTCAAGATTGCATGTCGACAAGGGGGCCAGTATTCAGAAACCATTAACCGATCTGTAGAATGTAAACAGTCGCTTCAAAACTTGAAGGCCAGGCTATCCGGATACATGTGGCAAGACTGTTCCTCTCTTCAGACAAATACTTAAAAAGTCGTCCTCAATACTGTAAAAAAACATTATGTGACAGCAGCCAAAAAGGCATCGTCAATCATATCAGGAGCTCATTTTCCAAGTTGCGCTGTGCGGCAAGACAAACACTCTTCAGCTTTCCTCAATGCGCGAGATTCTATCCATTCACCTGGGCCAGGGCGGTATCCAGACAGGTAACGCCTGCTGGGAGCTCTACTGCCTCGAACACGGCATCCAGCCGGATGGCACCATGCCGAGCGACAAGACGATTGGTGGCGGGGACGACTCGTTCTCCACCTTCTTCTCCGAGACAGGCTCGGGTAAACACGTGCCGCGCGCTGTCTTCGTGGACTTGGAGCCCAGTGTCTGCGATGAAGTCCGCACCGGTACGTACCGCCAGCTGTACCACCCGGAGCAGATCATCTCGGGCAAGGAGGACGCCGCCAACAACTACGCGCGCGGCCACTACACCATCGGAAAGGAGTACGTGGACGTGGTGCTGGACCGCGTCCGTAAATTGGCTGACGCCTGCACGGGCCTTCAGGGCTTTATGGTGTTCAACGCCGTGGGTGGCGGTACCGGTTCCGGTCTTGGTTCGCTCCTTCTCGAGCGCTTGTCGGTCGACTACGGCCGTAAGAGCAAGCTCGGCTTCACTATCTACCCGTCGCCCCTCGTGTCGTCGGCTGTCGTGGAGCCCTACAACTCGGTGCTGTCTACACACGCGCTACTGGAGCACACGGATGTTGCGATCATGCTAGACAATGAGGCCATTTACGACATCTGCCGTCGCTCCCTTGACATTGAGCGCCCGACGTACACGAACCTGAACCGTCTCATTGCTCAGGTCATCTCGTCGCTCACCACGTCGCTCCGTTTCGACGGCTCGTTGAACGTGGATATCACTGAGTTCCAGACGAACCTGGTGCCGTACCCGCGTATCCACTTCATGCTCAGCTCGTACGCCCCCGTTATCTCGGCCGAGAAGGCCTACCACGAGCAGCTGTCGGTGGCCGAGATCACTAACAGCGCCTTCGAGCCCACCTCAATGATGGCTAAGTGCGACCCTCGTCACGGCAAGTACATGGCCACGTGCCTCATGTACCGTGGTGACGTCGTTCCCAAGGACGTGAACGCCGCTGTGGCCACCATCAAGACCAAGCGCACCATCCAGTTCGTGGACTGGTGCCCTACGGGTTTCAAGTGCGGCATCAACTACCAACCTCCGACGGTTGTGCCTGGTGGTGACTTGGCCCGTGTGCAGCGTGCTGTGGCCATGATCTCCAACACCAGCGCCATTGCTGAGGTGTTCTCTCGCATCGACCACAAGTTCGACCTGATGTATGCCAAGCGTGCGTTCGTGCACTGGTTCGTGGGCGAAGGAATGGAGGAAGGCGAATTCTCGGAGGCTCGTGAGGATCTTGCTGCTCTGGAGAAGGACTACGAGGAGGTGTCGGCCGAGACGGCCGAGGGTGACGATGAGGACTTCGATGAGAAGTACGAAGAGTACTAAGCTCAAGCGCAAACTATCAACAATGTCGTCGACACCATCTGTCGGTGCGAAGACGCTTCTTGTCGTACTAGCCATCACGAGGCCAATTACGGAACTAAAGCTGACGATCACTCGCAACGGAGCCGAACGAAGAAATTTTGGAGGATCGGACAGCAGTTTTGTACGTCGTAACTTCACGCGATTTTAAAATCAAAAAGCAGCACCACGAGCTGCTAGTTTTGCCTACACGTCTAGTCGGGCTGAGGTTGGTTTTGGTTCTGGTTTGGGTTGTCGGTGTACTCGGCCCATTTCGCGTTTGCTCTTCCTGAACGGTTCTGTGAACCGGCCAACACTTTGGAGACTGTAGCCATCCTCTTGAACGTTTGCTTCGCCTGAAGTCTGGGCATCCCGTCCGGAAACCTCCCGCTGACACTTCTCCTGCTGTTAGTTAACTTGGCACTCTGCAGCAGCTCATTCGTGACGTCTGCAGCAGCCAATAGAGCGTTGGTGTGACCGGTAGATCGCGTCGGCTTCTCCGCTCGCTCTGCCCCAATAATGCGCTCAACCATCCCGGCAAAGTTCAAACATGCCGTCTGCACAATTTTTAGTAAAAATAAAAATTAGAAATCACGTTAATAGCGGTCACTCAGTCGAACTTACCACACAAAAGTTCATGTTTTCTGAGATCTTGGTCTCGATCACTTCTTCACGTCGTCTCACGTCTACAAGAAGAGTAGCGGCTTCGCTTAACTTTTTCCGCATTGTGTTCACTCGCTCCATCCCCAGTTGATTGAGGAGACTGATGTCCTTGATCGTCTCGTGGAAAACCTTCTGCATGATAAAAAAGTGGTTGATGATCTGTGCCTCAGTTAAGCGCGTGTATGGTTGCGTCGTAGTTGGCTCTTCCTCTCGAGCTGTAGTAGGGGGTGATAAGGCGGCATTCGACATTGCGTGTACTGCGTTGGGGTCTTCGACTGCGATAGTCCCTTTGAAAACCTCATTTTGTCGCTCTGGTGAGTTACCTCGACTGGCAGTAGACTTGTCCATGCCGTTGACGGTCGACCTCTTGCCCTGAAGCACCTGACGTGGACTTAACTTGCCAGGATTGATTCGGGCTTGTGTTCTTTCCTAGGCAGCACAAAAAAGTTAGTTAACGGTATAGCCTCGATAATATGAGCCCTTACTTTCTTCATCCTCTCTTCTTGAGCGTGGAGCTCGTAGCAGATGTAGAACTGGCCACCAACCAGAGTAAGCGGCATAGCAGTGTAACACGAGCTGAAGATCATCCCAACGATGTCGATCAATTTTCCGAGAGAAGTTCGGGGATGCAAATCCCCGTAGCCGACCGTCGTGAAGCTCACGAGCGAGAACCAAGTCGATCGCACCATGTCCGTGATAATGGAGAGTAGAGTGTTCTGGACGAGTATTCTTTTACCGGTCGGCAAACCTTCTGACATCTCGGGTGTTAGAACGTTTTTGTGCCACCACATGCAAGTGGTGCCGACGAAACACTCGGTACCACGCTCCATCTCGAAAAACACAGCTGCAGAGACTACACAACCTAAAAACAAGAAGAATAGCTACAATAAAGAAATAGTTAGTGAAACCCGGTATCTAACGCGTGAATGACGTCGCTCTTACCGGAATTGCCAGTCTCTCTGTGACTAGTTGAGCCGTCCTGATCAGCACTCGAGCCCCTGGAATGTGGGTTCCTAGTTTGAGGATACGTAAGCTTTTAAGGAAGCGAACGGCGGTGAAGAATGACGGCATAGCTGGTACAACCGAGTACGTCGGCCACTCTCCGATCAGTAACTCCACGATCTCAACGTAGAACGGGAGAAGAACGAGAATGTTCGAAATAAACCTCAGATCTCCCCAGAGATGTCGACGTACAGGATGCGAGTACACCTGCAGTATAATCTCCAGCGTAAACAACAACCCGAACAGGAACTCAAAGTAGATCCAGAGCGGTTCCATGTCGAATAGAAATTGCACCGGAGGGTTACACAGACGATTCCTGCACACATGCTCGATACCAGAGCTCGAAGGGAAGACGTCACTGCACGAAAGGGGGAACGTATCCGACGCAAAGTTTACACCCGACCCATAGCACGTCTCATCGGGGTCACCAATGGAGCAGTCGAGGTCGAGGTGCTGCTCTGTAACTTGGACAGCAATCCCAGACCCTGACGACGGGACTTCTCTGAAGACGTAGCAACCGGGTTGATCGTATCTCGCACAGTAATCGTGGACATTTCGAAGACAGAGAAACGTCTGAAGTCCTGTTTTCTGCAGCTCTGGTGTTGTTTGTAAGTAGAACATGGCAATACTGAGCACCACCGAAAGCATTCGCATTTTATTGACGATCCGCGCCTGCCAGATATCTTGGCGGTACTCGAATATGTTCCAGATCTGAGCTCGTAGATTGTTCATATCGGCGTGGCTGTCGTGATGCGTAATCGCTTTCATGGCCTTTGAGCCTATCGCTGCGATTTTCCCTTTCGCCACACTCATCCTAGTTGTGCTGCGCTTGCCACGCGTGTCCTTGCGAGACCCTTTACCACTCGACATGAAGCCATTCAAGTCGTTTTCTTGGTCTTTCGACGCTAGAGACGCTTGGACTAGTTCGTGGGCTTCTGCACACACTCGTGAGTGCAGTTTGATTATTGCCATGACGCCATCTAAAGCTTGCGATGCTTCATCGCTACGTCTTTTTGTGGACTGAATCACAGCTTCCAGTGTCATCGGAGGGTTAGACCCGTTATCAGGGGGAGTAATTATGCTTTGAAGAGTAAAACTGGCATCTAGTATCCCTTGCGATAGCTTGTAGAACCGATCGCACGTAACAGAACTCGCGTATTTGATGACGTGGGCGTCAATCTTCTGTAGTGTATCGTCCGGTTCGTTGTTTGTTCCAGCAATCGCGTTAACAATTTGCCGTCGTGGAGTTTGAATGGACAGCGCCGAAGAAGATCTCCTGCGTCGAGGTGTAATCGGTGCACTCTGGCCCTGCTTCAGGCTCTTCGCGTACTCGTCGTAATCCGTCCAGGCCAATTCATATTTGATACCAACAATAGCCAGAGGCATGGAGAAGTAAATTGTGCCGAAAATCATCACCATACAGACTAGTAACAGGGAGCCGGCATTGTGCATCGATGGCACTTGGCTGCCGTAGCCCACGGTGGCAACCCTATCATGCAAACAAACGAATCTAAAATAGTTAGTACTTCGAAATATCAGTAAACTTTAAAAGGAATTGGAATTTGTACCGTACGTGAGCATGACGAAGTATCCGGTATTGAAGATGTCGGTGAAGGTGCAAGTTTGCAAGTCGTAGCATGGCTCAGCGTAGAAAATTGCAGTCGCGAACACCATCACTACCGTGATTAAAAAAAAAAGCTGACAATACACGCGAGACGATAAAGAATAACTCGGTTAGCTTCACTTTGCCAGCCTTGCAGAAGAATTACTTACCGTAATTGTTAGCGGGGGAATGGCGTCTGATACTGCACGGAAGAGAACTTTCGTTCCAACGAAAGCGTACGCTGCGATGATCAGTCGAACCGCGCGTAGGATACGTAAGTTGTAAATGATTACCTCCGCTTGGCGAGTGTCAGCTCCCACCACTAGCGCCGCCAGCTTTGGTAGAGATGCTACTGCGGCCAGGAGACGTATCCAAGTGATTATTGACTTCCAGAACTGATCTTGTTTTGACGCAGTGGACCAACGTACGAGAAACTCGACGATATAAAGCAGCGAAAACAATGTCTCGATGGCATCGTAGGAGCTCTCACTTAGCATATAAGAGAAATCAGGGTCAGAGCTTCCGAATCGCGGCCCGTCTAGTGTTTCGCTTGCCATGACTCCGACATTGAGGAAAAGAACCAACATCAAGATTTGATGCAGTCGCCAGCCGATATGGGATTCCTCAGGGTTCGTGAGATAGAAATCGATACGTGCTCTCCACTCCATCGCCCGGATTGACCTCGGAGAACGCAGTAACGGGAGGTCTCGGGTGAGCAGCTTGGCCATTAAAGCGGAGAAGACGGAGAATTTCCTCTTGTGAGATTTCTTTTGGGATTTATCCGCGAGATAGGATTTAGTTACTAGAGTTTCTGTTGGCAGATGTGTTGGAGCGACGTTGGAAAGCGTCGGTGGCAGTACAGGAATGGTCTCAACGTGAGTCTTTTTTACGGTCTGCAAAGAAGATTCATCGGTTTGCTGGTTATTGAATTGCTCCACTTCGTTCTCACGACTTCGACCGTTTGTCCGTTCATCGGTCACGTCCTTAAGCTCCATCATTCTTCATACGAGGTGGCACTGAGCTGCTAAGCTGTCTCCAATCGGCAAAGCCAGCAAGCCCAGACCTCTTCGTCCTCGTTCTCGGCACCTGTTGCAGTGACAAGAGGCATCACGAAACGACCACATTTGGCCATAAGAATAGCGCTTATCGTTTACTTCGAAAGAGCATAATTAGCATACACACACCCGGCTCAACGCATCAATTTTGGTAAACGTCAAGAGGTAACGAACGTGTAAATTGTATCAAAACCAGAGATCCAACTTTGCATTGAATTGGCTGTCCTATTCAGCCAACTTTAGGTCAATGATGTCGATCTCGTCGGTGCTTGCGCTTGCTGGTACCGACATCGACCCACCAGTTCGCGTTGTGGGGATCGTGTTTGTTGTGGTATTTTGCTTCAAAGTCCCGAGATTCGTCTTCATCTGCGTGTCGACGACGTCGCTTCTCCTTGTCCAATCCACGCTTCGGCTTCTTGTCGTTCTTCAAATACCACATCTGCCACGACGAGTACCAGTGCAGCCACGTCCAGTAGTCTCCCCATTGCTCTTCTGTCACCAGGTGCTCTAGACCAGGAGGTGCAATTGGATGATGACCATCAAGACCAAGTCGAGCGATACACTCCTTCTCCATTCCAGGAGGCCACACTATCCCCGCTGGGAGTTTATATGCGACCTTGCTGGAGCTGGTTCTGTTTTTCACTTTGTCATTTCTGTCGATCCGGATTTCTGACTTGCTTCGTCTTGGAGGGGAGTCCAGTTCTGGTTGGAGGTCACGACTTCGATGCGTTGATTCGCGAGTTGAGTGTCTTGAAGCTCGAGATGGGTGATGGTGACTTTTAGTTGTGCGTCTGGAACGAGAGTGGTGAGACGAGGAAGAACGATGAGCCGTATCGGAGCTCTGTTTATCTTGTTCATCAGAATCACTTTGGTCGGTGGTGCTGCTATTGTCACTGGAGACGTATCGCTGCTTACTGTGAAAGTGGCTGCGTCGAGATGATTTGGATCGAGACGAGATTCGTTTATTGGCGCTCGGAGGACGGGCTTCCCAGCTGTCATTAAGAATCCGTGACTGTTGTCGATCAGAAGAATGGCGTCGAGATTCATAATAGCGTTTATGTGGCGTGTCGGGGCCATCAGAGAGGTCTTCGTCGCTGGACAGTTCACTGTCAGGAAGTTCTTGTTGCTTGTTGGGGCTTGGACGAGACGTACGAAGCTTCTCAGGCTTGGTCGCTAGCGAATGCTGGAGGATCTGTTCACGAGATGATGAACGAGTGGATGGTTTATGTCGTCTTGGACGAACCTGTTGCGAGCTTTTGATGCTGGAGCGCTCGGTATTTCTATCTACAACGATGGACTCACTGTCACTGGTCAATTCTCGCTCCTCAATCTTGTCATCGCCCGTATCTTCGCTTGCATCGCTAAAAGACTGCGTGTCGAGCTCGATAACGTTTCGAGCCGACGATGCACTGACACCCCGTCCTTTTGTACTCGACTTCTGCTCACCAACTCCGCCGCTTGTGCGAGACAATCGCTGCGGGGCTTCATGGCTGTCTCGTTTCGTTCGTGAGGTCTGCTCGACATGTTTGCTGGTATTGACCCCCTCATTGCCACGACTGCTTCGTTCATTAAGAGCAGCCTTGTCTTGTCGACTGCTAGCTTGAGGTTGGTGGACACCTCTACTTCGACCGGTTTTCACGTCCTTAAATTCATCTTCTCGCTGCGTAGCCTGCTCCCGGGGCCCCTTATCGTGTGAGCGACGACCATCCTGATTATCAGGCTTCAGGTTCTCATTCTCATCGTTGCTCGTTGGACTACGAAGCTCTACACGTTCCCTCGCTTTACCACCTTCATCGACACCTTCATCACTTGGAGTATAATTTCCAACCTGAACACCTTCTTTAGCGCTACCGTCGCGCTTTCTTTCAGATTGTGAGTGGTGGTTATCCTGACTGTCACCCATGGATCTCTTATCCTTACTCGTTCGAGGAGGTTGTTCATTTGCGTTCGTCCGACTGTCATCTTCGTCAGATCCCCATTCATCACTGCAAGTAGGACCTATAATCTGAGAATTCGTTTTAGCATCGTGAGCATTATCAATGCGCTTTTTGCCTTGCTCGTGGTGACGTCCTGCAGCAGTTGACCGAAGATTATCCTGTCGTTCTAAAGCCCCTTCCTGATTCATTGCAGGTGATCCATATGCCGCTGCACGTTCATCTACATGACCTTTATTGACATCCTCCTCGCCACTCTGAATATGCACTCCTTGCTCATTCTCCTGCTGTCGTCGCAGGTTGCTGGGGCGATTATCAAGATGAGAAGGCTTTCCATCCAGTGTGCCCTTCGTATGGCTCTCCCGAGTCGAGCCGTGGGTATCGATGTTTTGCTCTCCTGATTGCCCACGCGAGGGTGAGCGGTGGTGTTCTTGACGTTCACTTATCGAATTATTCTGTGCACTCATTGCGTTCTGAGTCGTTGCACTACTACCGGTGGAGTTGCCTCCTGTCTTTTTGTCACCATCAGTCAAATGCTCTTTTCCGGTACTCTGCTGCTGTGGTTCACCGAGCCGAAGATGCGCTTCCAGAGGGTTCGGTTCTAGTGGCTCAGTACCTTTATCCTCTTCGTCATCATCAGCAAAACCTGCTACTGGAGTTGTTTGTCGATTCGATGCATTCTCGTGTGATCTACTGGTTTCCATCTGTCGTGGACGTCCCTCATACCTCGCAGGTGGAGCCGTGAAAGAACCATCAGTCACGTTTTGCTGAGCAGGTTTGGTATGCTCGCCTTGTTCGTCGGTCAAGCGCCCGCCCTCGCTGTAACTTCCATTGTCAACTGTGGAAGCTGCACCCGCAAACCTCACGCTGCTTTGTATGCGGGGTACATTGACACCCTTAGCTGGAGGTGCGTTGCCTTGTAGTTCCGCAGTGTCACCACCTTCACGTTCCGTGTGTCTCGCGGCATTTCGTGCCGCGACTGGCTGCTTAGTTTCGTCCTCCATCTCGGAATACTGCAGACTTTTACCTGCGGGCTTCCTCTCTCCGTCACCAGACCCATCGTCGAGTGCACCAGTGAACGTAAACTCGATCTGCTTACCTTGAATTTTTACCTGCATGTCTCCTACAGCATGTGATAATTGGAGAAGCTTCTGTTGAAACTCCGATTTTTGCGTAGCATTGTCATTGCTGTCCGACGGCGTTTGCTGGGCATCGATTGACCTTGGAACGGTGTCAGATAAGCCACGAGATGGAGCGTTCCCCCCTTTAACCTCTGCATATTCGTTGTCGCTCGGTTGGCTCCGACTTTCTTTCGTCTTGTCCTTAGCAGCCCCTTCACGTTTTGCTGCGTGTCTACTCATTGGTGATACACGTGCATTACGCGCGTTGAAAGAGGCATCTGCATCAAGTCCTCCTCCTTCCAACCCAGAACTCCCTGAGCTCGTCTCGAACGTCATGTCGGCCTCTCCACTCTCAACAGGTGCAGATCCGCGTATCTCGTTTGCCCCACTTAGACCTTTTCCACTCGCTGACGATGTCCGCGCGGTTCCCTTTTCAAAGAGTTCAGGCGCCGAAGACGCTCGATCGATGTCTGGAGGCATTCTCCAATCTGCAACACGCGTAGGAAATGCCGCCACATTCGCTTCAGCTGAGAGCGAGGGCACTGCCGCTGGGTTTGTCCTGGACAGATTCAACCTACGCAACGCTGCTGCTTTAGCTGAATTAATACCAGTTCCGATGTCATCTCTATTTCCAAGAGCAGCCATACTGCTACCAACACCAAGTTTACTGACGGTAGACATGCGAGCTTTGGACTTCGGTAGAACTTTTGAGGTATCAACCTCATCGTCTGAGTCCAGTCCTGCTGCATTCTGTTGGCGCAAGGTCTTCATCATTCGCTTAGTCGTAGTACCCGAAGACCTCGCCGACTGACCCTTTACCGTCTTTGTCGACAACAGATCATCGGTATCAGACCGGCCTCCTTCACGCTCGATACTCCCGAGCAGCTCATCCACTTCCTGCAATGGTGACTTATGTCGTTTACCTTTCTTCACACGTTTATCAACTTCGTCTAATTCGTTCAGCAATTTCTCTCTAGACGAGCGTAGTTTTTCAGCCTCACGTCGGTATCGACGCGCCATCATCTCAATCGCAGCATCGGACGATGTTCCGGCTCGCAGGAACGCAGAGGATTGGGCGGAAGTGCGATAATTTCTATCAAATGAAGTAAACAGAGGTGGTGGAATACCTCGACGTGGTGCCAGTCGTGCTTCTTGACGAGCACGAAGTTCAGCGCGAGTTTCTTGCATGAAGTTCGTGCTGAGATTGGCATTGGCCGATGCGTACAAACGCTGCCAGGCAAAGTACAGCGGAATTTCGTCCTCAGACGACAAGTCCCGACGATGCAAATACGCTCTCGCGTCTCGCATCGCAGCCTCGTAGGACGGCAACGTCCCCTCCATCTTGGGAATAGCGAGAGAGAACCAAATGTGGGGTGAAGCGTGGTTGTCAACGCTGCATTCTCTTCATTTAGACAGATCGCAGCCATTATCCCAGGCTCCAAATCAAGAGCTGTTCATGCCTTTCATTCGGACCCCAGCACGTTCTCGCTTATAATTGGGCTACTTTGCGTCGCATGGCTCAAGATAGCTTCAACTTGGAGTTGCCTTTGACATTTATTCTTGTTAATCGAATTATTTGGAATGAAATTGACGTTTTCAGGATCCTGAAAGGACTCGTCACAAATGGAAATCGAGACGTCCGGTAGCTTCGACGCCGGCTCCGACTACGACGACACCGATGCTCTTGAGTACATCCACGGCTCGGATGACGAGGAATGTGGGCTGGCTGACGCGTTCAAGCAGTTTGAGGCGCAGGTGGCCGCTCGTTCTCCCAGAATTCTCGCGGTTAGAAGGCTGTATCAGATTTTTCTAACAGATTTCACTGATTCCAGGCAGAAAAGCGCACACACGAGCTGTTAAAGGCTACAGATGAACAAGTGAGTGTTGAGTGAAATCTGTCGATGTAGTGTCTTGGTAAACGAGAAGCTTGGTGCGCAGCTTTTCCATGTGCCGCCGACACCTGCAACTGAAGATAAAGGAATAGACGTAGACCAAGACAGCATTCCTGCGTACGTGTACATGAGCGACCAGTTCAGACTCAAGAAGCCTCCTCAGTTCCAGCACTGGCAGAAGAATTTCCAGTATTTGCAGGTCACGGGGTCCAGGATGCTGGAAGGAGAGTCGATGGAGTATCTTCAGCTGATACCAATGGAAACAAAGGGTATTGACAGTGTAAGCACTGACGATAGTGAGGTAAAGCTGCAAGTGGAAGGGGCTGCTTGCTTAGAAGAGTCGACGGCTGCGTCTCGAGGGACCTATGAAGAGATAATTATGTGGTAAGTACAGTACATGTCTGCATATAAAAATATCTAACGCAGCGCGCTGCTTAGTGACGGTGTGATGGAAGAAACACTAGAACATGACGAGAATGCGGACGATGGGGAGTCCGGGAGCGGGAGATTCTCTCCACATAATTCTCATGTTGAGGAAGTGCTGGACTCGCTGACGATGGAGTGCTTTTCGTCAACGGTAGTTCCACAGGTAGGGGCATTTTATTGCTCGCTAAAAGGTGCTCCAGTGTCAGACTTGACCGTGTTGCTGTTGCTAGTTAACTTCACTTTATAAGACCATGCTGGAGAAGCAACAACAAACTGTCCGAGCTGCTCGAGAAGAGAGAGAAGCTGCTGCAAATCGAACGTTCGAAGAGAACATAGCATTTGACAAGGCTCGAGAACTGCGACTGGAGCAGGAAGCAGTCGAAGAAGCAGCTCGAGTCGAGGCATTGGGAAAGAGACGCCAAGAAGAGGAACGCAAAGAGACGGAGAGACGCGAACTGTTTCTGAAGCAGCAACTGGAAGAGAATGACGAAGAAGAAGTCAAGATCAAGACACTGGCGTATTCGCACACGCGTGAATGGTACCAGCCCAAGAAGAAATGCTTCTTACATCGTGGACGCCGGTTGTGAGTTGGGGGGGGGTCGTTTCTTTCTTTTATCATCCACTTGTTATTTTTACGCTTGGAAATTGTCATGCAGGACGTATCTAAAGCCCGTTCTTCAGGCAAAGGTGCCGTGAACATTCATACCAAGGTGTGTGTTAACTCAGCATACTGATCACGGTTTGTATGTAAACCAGGAGTCCGAAGAGGTCGCAATACCGGAAACTTACCAGCGTTCGCCGTCACAGATTTCAGACCGTCGACGCACCAGAAATGTCCTTAAGAAGCCACGATCTTCATCGCGAAAGCCTCAGTCTGAGTGGGTAACTGGTGGGGCCTTGACCAACGACAAGCTCTGCGATATCTCGTGGGTGAAAAAAGTCAACCCACCGCCTTCTCCGACTCGATCTCGTCGACGTCGCAAGAATCAAAACCAGAGAGACGACGCGAGTTCACGTGATCATGTTCGTTTGCCAATTATCCCAAGACCCGAAGCGAGTGCAACAGGTAACGGAACAACGAAGCCTAGTACTTCAGTACGAAAATCAACTCCAACAAACATAGAATGAAATCCCAGTAAATGTAACAATTGGCCCAAAATGTCACGATAAGAAAGTCAAGAATCAGGGATTTTAATAGGTTTTGACAAGCACAGATAACCACGTCTCTCTCTCCTCCTTGGCAACTCTTTAGCAGCCTAAAGCTCGCGCTCGATAACAGCAGCAGCGCCCATGCCCGTGCCAATGCACATGGAGATGACTCCGAAGCGCTGGTTCTTTCGCTTAAGTTCGTACAGCAGCGTCGACATCTGGCGAGCACCGGTGCAGCCTAGAGGGTGGCCAAGAGCAATGGCACCGCCCTTGGGATTCACCTTCTCAATAGGAATACCCAGCTTCTCGACGCAGTACGTGGCCTGGCTGGCGAACGCCTCGTTGATCTCAAACACGTCGATCTGGTCCTGGCTCAGGCCTGCCTTTTGCAGGGCCTCAGGGATGGCGTAGGCCGGGCCAACGCCCATCAGAGCGGGAGGCACACCGGCCACAGCGTACGACACGAAGCGCCCGAGGATCGGCAGGCCCATCTTCTTGGCCACAGAGCGGCGCATCAGCAGCACGGCGGCCGCGCCGTCGCTGACCTGGCTCGAATTGCCGGCCGTGGTGGATCCGCCCTCCTTGAACGCCGGCTTCAGCTTGGCCAGCTTTTCCGCGGTCGTGCCGGCGCGTACACCGTCATCCTGCGAGATGATGACCGATTTCTCGTTGCCGTCCTTGTCTTTAATGATAGTGGACACGGGCGTGATCTCCTCCTTGAACCACCCGTTAGCCTGAGCTGCGGCCGCCTTGGCGTGCGAAAGAGCCGCCAGCTCGTCCTGTTTGGTGCGTGAGATCCCGTAATTCTCGGCCACGTTCTCGCTCGTAATACCCATGGGTACTGTGCAGTCCATGGCGTCCTGCACTTGTCCGACACGTTCCCAGTTGACTGTCGGTGCGTCGTTGCCGATTCCGGCCAGCGACATACACTCGACACCGGCCGCGATACCGATATCGTAGTAACCGGCCTTAATGGCCGCCGTGACATTGGCCACGGCCTGCAAACCGGAGCTGCACTGGCGGTTAACCACGTGCAGTGGCACCGTGTGCGGGACGCCTGCGGCCAGTTGGGCCATGCGGGCCATGCCGGCACCCGCGCCGGGCTGTAGTACGTTGCCCACCACGATGTCACCAACAAGCTTGGGATCCACCTTGGCCTGCTTGAGGACGGCCTGAAGCACGTGGCCCAGCAGCACGTCGGGCGTGGTGTCCTTAAACCCGCCGCGACGAGCCTTGGTGATGGGCGTGCGCAGCGCCGACACGATGACCACGTCTTCCTTGGGCGTCGCAGGAGCGGGCGAGCCGTTGGCCACGTGCGAGCGGATACGATTGATGCGGTCCATACTTAAGGAGACGAAGCGAATCGAGCGCGATAGACGGCCAGATCCAAAATGGCAACTCGAGATGCCGATTCACGTCCGTGTCGGAAATGCTGCATCAACATTCGGGACTTCTTCAAGTTAAAAAAATAAAACAAGGCTTAATTTGGATGTTATGCTTTCTCAGAACTGGATTCTGCTATTTTATGCAATTCACAAAGCTACAAATAATTTGAGTACCCTCGAATAATATTTAGTAAAGGTTTGTGGGGTCGACGTTGCACCATGTTGATCTTTAACTAACTGCCAATTGTTGCTAGCGACGACAGCCAACGTGTGGCCTATGGCCGACCCGGCCAAGTTGGTACGAGCTCTTCCATATCAATTCTCCATTCAAGCTTGTCCAGACTTCCACGGCCGGATTCGTGGACCTGGCGACGCCACTCGTGATACGAGCAGAGGTTCCGAAAATGTTATTCTTATTGAGACTGGCAAAACAGCAATAAAAATAATTTTAAGTGCTTGGAGCACCACGGCTGCAAAAATTATTGGTGTTATTGCATGCAATACACAGTGGGCTGATACTCGTCTAGTTGGTGGGAGCCTCACCACGCACAACCTTCCGGAGTGTGGCAGCGTTCCACTAGGCTCGGTTCAGCATCAAATTGAGAGGGCAAGAGCGCGGCAGATCGATTGAAGATTGCGGTTTAGCTGGACCGCTGGTCCGTAGGGCCCCATCGAGCCCGGTTAAAGGTTATTGCCTGGAGAGAGCGCAGAATAAATTATTTGATTTTGAAATGGGAGGTCGAAAATAAATTATTTTACTGCAAAATAAAAAATATATTTAATAAAAATAACATTTTCGGAACCCCTGGATACAGTACGAGTGAGAGCTCTAATGCGATAAACTCACGCACAATTTAAAGAGCTCAACAATATGTTCTAGATAAAAAAGAAAATAGGGATAATCCGAGGCCGACAAGACGCGACCAAAATGGTAAATCGTGTACTCAATTAAATGCCACCTTGCGGCTTGTCAACAAATTGTCGTCTCCTGTTCGGAGTTTCACGTCGGATGCACCCCTCCACAAATAAGTCGCAGTATTATCATCTCTTGAGTGTTAATTTGCTACTACTGGCTCACTCATTATCGCCTTACACAATATGCTGTCGCCGCTGTTGATGAACAACCCCGGTTTGTTTTCTTTCTCTCCAGAACTGCATTATAATACTGTTCAATGAGCACAATGTAGCTTTACCGACTGTGCGTTCATATAACCAAAACGTGTTCAATCGGTCTTTGAGCTGGGAGAAATTTTTTCCGCGATGCTTGCCAGCAATTTCAATGTAAGCGGCTGGTTTTTCAAACTCGGCCCCTCCTCCACAAAGATCTTGTTGAAGTACTTGTAGTCCACGTGGCTCTCCAAGGCGTCTCCTGCTAATGTAAACCTCGACTTGCCGGGTACAGTCAAGCCCAGCAGCACTTTTGCGTCATTCGTTTTAATTTTTGATTGGGCCAAAAAAAAAGTTCTCGCCGTCATCTCCGCTTCCGTGACCTCTCTAGTGATCGCCGCGGCCTGCGGAACAACTCCATGCCAAGTCCTCCACAGGTGAATGATCCTATCGTCGAATGCTTTCACGTATTTCTCGTAGATCTTGAAATTCTCGCTGTTCATGATCTTCGGGAGATCGGACGCTTTGCTAACGTGATCCAGGCCCAACTCCTTCCAGACACTATATGTGGCGGTGTTGTCTTCAAGCCGCTTGCTGAGTCGATTCATTAGAGCCTTTTTAGCAAACCGATCATAAATCTGGTAGTTCTTGTGGGTCGTAAGAGCTGCACCCTTTAGCCCGTTCAGTTTCAGCTTCTTCATGACATAGTCGTCGGACCTTCCGGTCTCCAGCCACCACTGCAATTTAATTTTTGTTTTCAGTGTACTCCAGCAAGCAGAGTCTTCGCTTCTCACTTCAACTGTGTTGTCACCTCGCAGCAAACGCCTTTGGTTCGTGATTACGTTCGAAGGTTCGGCTGCCGAAAAGCAGACGAGGAGAGCAGCCACCATGGCGATAAGAACGTGCAGTGAGCGCATACTCGAGATGAGTGTTTCTTCGGGTGAATTGTGAAATGGCAGCCTTTCACAAACAGCAAAATTAAAAGTTTATTCCGGTAACAAAATACACCGGTTGAGTTTCACCAACTAATTGCTGATTAGTTGTTAACTAATCAGTGACTTTTTTTAAGGGCATTCGTGGCTGAGACAAAGTGGCTTTTCTCTGGTTTTATATCCAGAGTTTTTAGGAGGCGCATCACTCTGACCCTAATTTTTTCAAGCTCAGATCCCAAAATGAAGTTTTCATTTCAAACTTAAATAAAATAGACACGAGCTTGATACATATTAACTTTGGATTGTCATTCCGAAAATAGTGGGGTTTCTCTCTGAATCTGAATAATATGGTGTTTTTGTTGGAATTAGAAACAACATTTTAATTTTAATCAAGAAGTTTAGTGTTGTTCGGCCAAGCGTAACATCACTGTAAATTACGACCTCCCGAAGTAATTTATCCGCGTGAATATTGTCCGAACAGACTTTATCTTACACTGAGCGCAGATGATGCATCAGATGCTACCATATCGCTAACATCCTTCTTGTGTGCGACTGTCACAGTATAACCGCGGACCGAATAACCAATACACCTATCTGCAGGGTATAGGTGCGAGATAAATCCACGAAAATGGGAAATCATTACTACGTAGTAAAAAAATTAAGTTCAATTGCGGGAACTTAATTAAGACTCTTTATAGAGAGCTGTAGTTGCTGGAGTTCGAGTAAGGCCCTGGTTCCTGCCGCTGGGTCTGGGGTCTGGGGAAATGATTCCGAGAAATACAATTCATTCCCACACCTGTGGGTGTGGGGATTAAAACAAGATAGGTTTTTTAAATCGGCATTTGATAAAAAAGGATCTGCGATGCCTAGGCAAGACGAACATGTTGTGATGGCGATTGTGGAGTTGATTGTCGTCGCCGCCTTCGCTGCAGTAGCCTCCCTGAGCGTGAGAGAGAAGGCAAACAACAATCTAACGGTGACAAAGTTGGATTTTGATGCTTTGCTAGAGTCTCCTCGCTTTAATGGCTGGTTTTGTGCTAACTTACGGTATTCTTAGCAAAGTTTAAAGACAATTTGCCTCCTCTTCCGGCCATTCGCGAGCCCCACGCTTTGAAGTGGGTCTCTAAATTCCTACGAGAAAAAAATGGCGCTTACAATGTATGATCTTGCATGATCGGGTAGTATGTTAGAGGCTGGTAATGCAATGGGAATATCAAAGCCGTGCGCAGTGAAGACTATTAGTAAAATGCTACGAGTTATATGTTCCCGTTCGGCGACCCACATCAAGCTGCCGGGATCGGAATGCGAGTGGAAGGAGGTTATGAAGGGGTTTGCGGCTGTGAAGGGGTTCCCTTTTGTATGCGGGGCTGTGGACGGCTCGCTCTTCGAAATTGAGCGGCCGGCCGAGTATGAAGGCTGGTATTGCAAGGATTAATTTCCTGCAGTCAGCATGCAGGCCGTTTGCGACTCGAGGTGGCGCTTCATGGACTACGACATGCATCCGGGCTCGTACAGTGACAAGAAAACGTGGAGAGTGTCGAAATTAGGCTTGTCGGCTGCAAACGTACTTCGAGAGATGTCGGGGCTAACAGTTTCCATCGGGTCTCCTTGTTGAGCAGCATTAATCATCGTCCCTGCTGAGCTCAGCGGGGACAGGTTCGGTCACGGTCTCGGTCTTACTTAGGGTCAGTACTTTTGCCACGACTTACTTTCTGCCAAGCTGTTTCTTCATCCACATTTTTCTAAGCTGTAGCCAATTTCGCCAAGATCTAACACCGTCGTCGCTGAGATCGTTACCCCAGGATAAGTCTCAGTACCTCTCAACAGTGATACCTCTGGTAAAGCATATTTGTCTTCCACAGGAGGGCCCATGTCCGCGGAGTCCACTACGACGGCCGATCTGACTTCTACGTGTTCAGACTTGTCTCCGAGGTAGGTGGCATCAACGTCGTGTCGTCCCACCACATCCGAGTCGTTTTCATCATCCAGAGCCTCCAACGCTTTTTTATAGCTGACGCAGGATACAAATTACTTCCGGAAGTTATGACTCCATATCTACCTCGCGAAGAGCATGGAAAGCTGACGCGTAAGCACGAGCGGTTTAATTACGTGCTAAGCGCCACGCAAATGGCCATCGAGTGCGCTTTGGAATGTTAAAGCAACGGTTTCGCTTAATTCGAAGACAACTGGAGCAAACAAGTATTAGAAGCTGCACCCAATGTTTTTTTGGCCGCTATGATTTTGCACATTATTTTGATTGACCTTGCCGATGAAACTGTGAATTTAAACGAGAGAGATACCCAAAGCCTTATCGTGTACGAGGAGGATGTAAGTAGAGATACACGGAATATTAGTAGGGCCAAACGCGACGACCTCGCCCATTTATTTTCTCATTAAAAGAAGGAAATCATGAGGTCCCACGAGTAAGCGTCTCGATTAGGGCGCTAATCGCTGATGTTTGCAGGCGAAGCACAGCCTCTTGACGGTGAAGTGCTGCAACGATATCTCGTGAAAGCAAACCATCGTCAGATGCAAAAATTTACTTTTCATCGCCTCTCCAAAAGTTTTCACGCCTTCAGCTAAAGTACATAGACCTAATCTCAAAAACAAAATAAAACACAGTCTTATTCTGTCAAAACTTCGTCGCTTTCGACATTTTACCGTAGTAGCAAGTACCTGCTTTAACATATTCGTCGTTAGTTTTTCTACGCTTGCTGCTTCGACATCCTTGGTCGTCCGTGTCCTCCTCAACTTGTTCATCTTCCTCACCGTACTCCGGCGTGATGTTATCACACAGTGTCGTGTTTTGCAACCCTTCATGGGGTGCCCAGTGCTCCATCATGAGGTCGAGGCAAGGTGAGTCGGACACATTAGGAACAATTCCAGTAGCAGAGCGATCCTGACGGTAGTGCGCCCACTTCTTCCATAGCCACTTAATGTACAATATGCAAAATATAGCGAGCCAGAAAAGTAGTAATTTGCATTTGAAAACAAGAAAATAAACGAAGTGTTCGGCAGGATACCTTGTCCTTGCATTGTATCACTGAATAGACCCGATTAGTCCTCTTACTAACATGCGCAGCAACTCGAATCCAAGCTGCACCAATATCTGCGCTGTTGATAGCGTTCTTAAAGCTATCCTTAGCTGTAACATATCTATAGAGCGATAACTAATACGACAATGTGATAGTAATTGCTATGGTACTTGACAGAGTAAATCATACCTCGCCGTAAACAGAGCTGTGGTTGCATCCGTCGACCACAGCTCTGTAGATACATTTTCCTTGCGTCCCCGCTTCGTCGGGCCTGTAGGAACAGCTGGGTGTTGAGCTGCCATCTCTTGCTCTTCCACAGCGTCCACCGCGGAGAGCGTTCGTACTGGCGGAGAGGACTGTAGCAGCGATAGTCGAGGTCGTGCAGTTATCTGCGTTCTCAGGCTGCCTTGGGGTGCGCTGAACTGTGGCTCATACGTGCGGCTGCCACGGAGTAGCAGCTCCTCCATGGGTTTTAGCTGCGTACACGTGTCTCCTGTTGGCTTACTTCTCTCTTTGTGTGGTTTTAGCAAATTGCTACCTGCCAACCAGTGGTGTGAGCACAGCGGCCACAACCGTTATCAATTTGACGAGGGTTTACCAGCAAAAAATTATTGCCCGAAAAACGACCTACGACTTAAGTGCTCTGGGGTAGGGGGATGTTTATATTTCGAGACCCCAGACCCTTCGGTAGGAACCAGGGCCTAAGGAATATCTAACCAAATTCCGGATCAGCCAACAATAGATTTCCGTGTGTATATTTTGAGATGCTCCAATTCTAAACTCCAGTGGAGTTATGAGGGACCGCTCTAGCTCCAAGGAGTCTATTTCTGGAGGGACGGCTCGTAACCCTCGATTAGCTCCATAACCTCGGATAGCTTCAAAACCTACAGCTCTCTAATAACGCTTAATTTAAGAGACAATGCAAGATTAGTTCCATTTGTGACCTGTAATTGGCTGTATTATGGAGTGTGCTTTAACAAAGAGTTCAGTACTGCACCCCGTTTTCGCGGGGTGGATTTGCAGATAAATTAGATTTTTTAGCAAACAAACCTTTGTCCATTTGGATTCAGGATCATCACATCCAGAAGTTTATTAATGGGCCAAGGGCGCGAAAACGGGATGCAGTACTGTATAAATATTGATCGATTGTGCAACTGTGTTTGCAACCAGTATTTTATTAGTTAATCATTTGAACTTAGTGTTTCGATTTGCTACTGTGGTGTACATGTTGAAGCTAACGTAGGCTCGGATGCCCTCCACGCCTGCGATCAGCGCGGAGAGCAACCAAAATGCTGGACACTGATAGTTGCCTACCATAAGCTTGATACACCCGGTCTATTGCAGCATCGTTTGTGTATCACGAGCGTACGAGTTTTGTAATTAGATCCCAAAAGACTTTCCTTCTGGAGTACGCAAACTTGTTTGCGCCTCGTTCAGCTGATGTAAATTCCTTAGCCGCTTTCAACCCGCTGCATCCGAACTAATGCTAGTGCCACAGCTCGTATAGGTCCTTAGGTCTCTTCGAGAGACGAGTGGCGGTAGTTCTCGCGCAAGGTTGAGAGCTCGTAGAATCTGTGGCTGGCGTAGCACTCTGCGAGAAGGCAGAATTTGGCAAGCGATTGACTGGATGTCCAGTCGTTTAATCACGGAGTGAACCTTTTGAAGCTCGCGCAGCAATTCGTTTCGGGCTCGTTGAATCTCATTCATCGTCCATATCATGTGCCGCCGGCCTGATGTAATTTGAGCCTGTAGAGCAGTAAATTCGTGTTGATAACCGCACCCATTACCACTTCCAGTCGCGACTTGTCTTAAAGACGAAGTTTAACTACCAATTTCGATTTCACCATTTTGACTGTTGTCGATAATTGCGAGGTTGAGCAGCTCTCCATCCCCCAACACATAACATTCCTCTCTTGGGATTGGATTTAAATCTGAGCTTCCACCAGCATT